CTGTGGGGTCTGAGCCTGGTGTAACTCATTGCTGTTTAAGCCTGGCTCAGTCCCCGAGCCCCGAGCCCTTCCCAGCGCCCTAAGCCGGGCTCTGTTGCATTCCAGCCCCCTGGACATCCCAGCCATGAGGGAAGCAGCGCGGTTCCTGCTGGGCACCCACGACTTCAGCACATTCCGCTCGCCGCACGCCGAGAGCCAGAGCCCCGTGCGGACCCTGCGGCTGCTGCAGCTGCAGCCGGGCCGGGCGCTGCTGGGCCAGCACGGCCTGCACAGGTGACAGCAGCCGGGGACACCGGGGACACCCACGGCGTGGGCCTTGCAGCGTGGGCACCACCGGTCTGACGTGTGATCGGATTTGTAATCTGATAGTGCCAATAATCGGATTTTTAATCTGATTTGTAATCTGATTTTTAGTCTGATTTGTAATCTGATTTTTAATCTGATTTTTAATCTGATTCTTATTCCCATGGGTGCCACTAATCTGATTTTTAACCTGATTTTTAGTCTGATTCTTATTCCCATGGGTGCCCATAATCTGATTTGTAATCTGATTTTTAACCTGATGGTGCAATAATCTGATTTTTAGTCTGATTTGTAATCTGGTTTTTAGTCTTGATTTTTAATCTGATGGGTGCCAATAATCTGATTTTTAATCTGATTTTTATTCTGATTCTTATTCTGATGGGTGCCAATAATCTGAATTTTAATCTGATTTTTAATCTGATTCTTATTCTCATGGGTGCCAGTAATCTGATTTGTAATCTGATTTTTATCTGATTTTTAATCTGATTTTTATTCTGATGGGTGCCAAAAATCTGATTTTTAATTGATTTTTACTCTGATGGGTGCCAAAAATCTGATTTTTAATTGATTTTTAATCTGATGGGCGCCAATAATCTGAATTTTAATCTGATTCTTATTCTCATGGGTGCCAGTAATCTGATTTTTAATCTGATTTTCAATCTGATTTTTATTCTGATGGGTGCCAATAATCTGATTTTAAATCTGATTTTTATCTGACTTCTAATCTGATTTTTAACTTGATGGGTGCCATTAATCTGATTTTTAATCTGATTTTAATCTGATTTTTAATCTGATGGGTGCCAACAATCAGGCTGCAGGGTGGGATTCTCAGGGCTGGCACACACCAAATCTCACTTTCAGCTGATAAATATTCCTAAAACATTCCTGATCTTTCTGGGGGAAAAAAAAACCCAAAAAACCTCAATTTTCTGCTTAATTCAGCCACTTCATTTCCATTCCTGCCTTTTTAATCTGATGGCTGCCAAAAATCTGATTTTTAATCTGATGGGTGCCAAAAATCTGATTTTTAATTTGATTTTTAATCTGATGGGTGCCAAAAATCTGATTTTTAATTTGATTTTTAATCTGATGGGTGCCAAAAATCTGATTTTTAATTTGATTTTTAATCTGATGGCTGCCAAAAATCTGATTTTTTTAATCTGATTTTTAGTCTGGTGGGTGCCAAAAATCAGATTTTTCCTGAATTTGGAGGCAGCAAAGTCGTGGCATGCAATGACCTCTAGTGAGGGAGGATGAAATAACAGAGGGGAGGATTTGAGCTGCTTGGGGAGAAACTCTGGGCACTCCAGGATGCCAAAATTTCCCTCTGGATAAAAACCCCTTGAATCTTTTGACCTTTTTTAAGTGATTATCATGAGCAGGTTGCTCAGTGGGCTTTGGTTTGTTAATTATTTTAATGAACGGGCGCAGGGATTTGTTCAGCACTGCAGGGAGGGTTTGGAAGGGTCAGAAATGGAATTTTTGTGGAGTTCAAATCAGGGATGGGTGTGGGCACCTCACAGGGGAGGTGAGGGTGGAAAATTGGGGAGGGGGAATTGGGGAGGGGGAATTGGCGAGGGGGAATTGGGAATGGAGAATTGAAGGTGGATAATTTGGGATGGGGAACTGGGGATGGGGAATTGGAAATTAATTGGGGATGGAGAATTGAAATGGAGAATTTGGGATGGAGAATTGAAATGGAGAATTGGAGATGGAGAATTGGGGATGGAGAATTTGGGATGGAAAATCTGGGATGGAGAATTGGGGATGGAGAATTGGGGATGGAGAATTGGAGATGAATTTGGGATGGAGAATTGGGGATGGAGAATTGGAGATGAATTTGGGATGGAGAATTGGGGATGGAGAATTGGAGATGAATTTGGGATGGAGAATTGGGGATGGAGAATTGGAGATGAATTTGGGATGGAGAATTGGGGATGGAAAATTGAAATGGAGAATTGGAGGTGAATATTTGGGGATGGAGAATTGGAAGTGGAGCATTGAAAATGGAGAATTGGGATGGAGGACTGGGGGTGGAAAATTGGAAATTAATTGAGGATGGAGGTTTGGAGGTGGAGAATTGGGGGAGGAATTGGGGAGGGGGAATTGGGAATGGAGAATTGAAGGTGAATAATTTGGGATGGGGAACTGGGGATGGGGAATTGGAAATTAATTGGGGATGGAGAATTGAAATGGAGAATTTGGGATGGAGAATTGGGGATGGAGAATTTGGGGATGGAAAATTGGGGATGGAAAATTGGAGATGAATTTGGGATGGAGAATTGGGGATGGAGAATTGGGGATGGAGAATTTGGGATGGAGAATTGGAGGTGGACGAGATGCTGGGTTTGGGACCTGAGCCAGGCTCGTTCCTGGCTGGCTGAACCCGGGGCAGGTCAGGAGGACGGTGGGGCCCTGGTGGTCACCTGAAGATGCCCCTGCGTGGGGCAGGCTGAGAATGTCACCAGGAGGGGAAAAACAGCTTTTCTTGCAGATTTTGGGGTGGGACTAAGGGACAGAAATGCTCCCTGGATGAGCCCAAAGGCACACCAGGAGCAGCCAGGGCTGGGTTGGTGACTCCAGGATTGGGTTTGGTGATTCCAGGGTGGGGTTGGTGACACCAGGTTGGGTTGGTCACTCCAGGGCTGGGTTGGTGACACCAGGGTTGGGTCGGTCACACCAGGGCTGGGTTGGTCACACTGGGGTTGGGTTGGTGACACCAGGGCTGGGTTGGTGACTCCAGGGCTGGGTTGGTGACACCGGGGCTGGGTTTGGTGACACCAGGCTGGGTTGGTAACACTGGGGCTGGGTTGGTGACTCCAGGGTTGGGTCGGTCACACCAGGGCTGGGTTTGTCACACCAGGGCTGGGTTTGTCACACCGGGGTTGGGTTGGTCACACCAGGCTGGGTTGGTGACACCAGGCTGGGTTGGTGACTCCAGGCTGGGTTGGTGACACCAGGCTGGGTTGGTGACTCCAGGCTGGGTTGGTGACACCGGGGCTGGGTTGGTGACTCCAGGGTTGGGTCGGTCACACCAGGGCTGGGTTTGTCACACTGGGGTTGGGTTGGTCACACCGGGGCTGGGTTGGTCACACCGGGGCTGGGACTGGACCTGAGCCAGGCCGGTTCCTGGCTGGCTGAACCCAGCTCTCCTGTCCCCGGGCAGGTCAGGAGGATGGTGGGGGCCCTGGTGGCCGTGGGCCAGGGCAGGCTGGCCCCCCGGCAGCTGCAGGAGCTGCTGCAGCTCAGGGACCCCCGGGCGCTGCCCCCTCACGCCGTGGCGCCGGCCTCGGGGCTCTTCCTGCACAGCGTGGAGTACAGCCAGGCAGGTGGGCATGGCTTAATTGATTAACTAATAGGTAATTATCCATTGATCAATGATCCTTCACTCCTCCTCAGCAGGAGGAAGGAGTGGGGCTGCGTGCTTTTGGTATTTTGGGGTGTTGTTTTCCTCCTGTGGGAGGAAATGATAACATCTAGAACATCAATTCTAACATAATTAATTATAAAAATGATCGTTATTGTCTCGCCCTCCACGTAACACTAAAAATAGAACAAATGTTTCTAAAACATCTCTCAGTTTCCCCATCTGTAAATCACAAAAACCTGACACCTCTGCTTCCAGTGGGGAGGGATGGGGGGTGAAGCAGATCCCAGCTGCTTCCAGAACCTTCTTTTCCCCTAAATCAATATTTTTCCCCTAAATCAATATTTTCTTTCCTCCTAAATCAATATTTCCTTTTCCCCATAATCAATATATTCTTTTCCCCTAAATCCATGTTTTCCCCTAAATCAATAGTTTCCTTTTCCCCAAAATCAATGTTTTCTTTTCCCCATAATCAGTATTTTTTCCCCTAAATCAATATTTTCTTTCCTCCTAAATCAATATTTCCTTTTCCCCATAATCAATATATTCTTTTCCCCTAAATCCATGTTTTCCCCTAAATCAATAGTTTCCTTTTCCCCAAAATCAATGTTTTCTGGGTTGGTGACACCAGGGCTGGGTTGGTGACACCGGGGTTGGGTTGGTGACACCAGGGCTGGGTTTGTCACACCAGGGCTGGGTTGGTGACACCGGGGCTGGGTTTGTCACACTGGGGTTGGGTTGGTCACACCGGGGCTGGGTTGGTCACACCGGGGCTGGGACTGGACCTGAGCCAGGCCGGTTCCTGGCTGGCTGAACCCAGCTCTCCTGTCCCCGGGCAGGTCAGGAGGATGGTGGGGGCCCTGGTGGCCGTGGGCCAGGGCAGGCTGGCCCCCCGGCAGCTGCAGGAGCTGCTGCAGCTCAGGGACCCCCGGGCGCTGCCCCCTCACGCCGTGGCGCCGGCCTCGGGGCTCTTCCTGCACAGCGTGGAGTACAGCCAGGCAGGTGGGCATGGCTTAATTGATTAACTAATAGGTAATTATCCATTGATCAATGATCCTTCACTCCTCCTCAGCAGGAGGAAGGAGTGGGGCTGCGTGCTTTTGGTATTTTGGGGTGTTGTTTTCCTCCTGTGGGAGGAAATGATAACATCTAGAACATCAATTCTAACATAATTAATTATAAAAATGATCGTTATTGTCTCGCCCTCCACGTAACACTAAAAATAGAACAAATGTTTCTAAAACATCTCTCAGTTTCCCCATCTGTAAATCACAAAAACCTGACACCTCTGCTTCCAGTGGGGAGGGATGGGGGGTGAAGCAGATCCCAGCTGCTTCCAGAACCTTCTTTTCCCCTAAATCAATATTTTCTTTCCTCCTAAATCAATATTTCCTTTTCCCCATAATCAATATATTCTTTTCCCCTAAATCCATGTTTCCTTTTCCCCTAAATCCATGTTTCCCCCTAAACCAATGTTTCCTTTCCCCCAAAATCAATGTTTTCTTTTCCCCATAATCAGTATTTTTTCCCCTAAATCAATATTTTCTTTCCCCTAAATCAATATTTCCTTTTTCCCCATAATCAATATATTCTTTTCCCCTAAATCCATGTTTTCCCCTAAATCAATAGTTTCCTTTTCCCCAAAATCAATGTTTTCTTTTCCCCATAATCAGTATTTTTTCCCCTAAATCAATATTTTCTTTCCTTTCCCTAAATCAATATTTTCCCCCTAAATCAATATTTCCTTTACCCCAAATCAATATTTCCTTTCCCTTAATCAATATTTTTCCCATTTTAAATCAATGTTTTTCTGCTCTCCCCTCAGATTTGGCCACCCCGAGTGCCCCAGCAGAAGAGGAGCTCTGCGAGCCGAGCTGAAAGGAAATGATAAATTATTTATAAAACTAATTAAACAATTAGAAAAATCACAGCATCTCTCTTGTCTCACCCTTCCCATAACACCAGAAATTTTTAAAAACACCTCTCGGTTCCTCCATTCCTAAATGATAAAAAATCCTGGTTTATCATTCCTAAATGATAAAAAATTCTGGTTTTTTATCATTCCTAAATGATAAAAAATCCTGGTTTTTTATCATTCCTAAATGATAAAAAATCCTGGTTTTTTATCATTCCTAAATGATAAAAAATTCTGCTTCCAGCGGGGAGGGAGGGGAGTGAAGCAGGTCCCAGCTTTTCCAAGAGATTTTTTCTGATTTTTTCTGGATTTTTTTAGGTTTTTTTCAGATTTTTTTCAGGTTTTTCTTCTCTGATTTTATTCAGATTTTTTTCTGAATTTTTCTGATTTCTTTCTGATTTTTTTCTGAATTTTTTCTGAATTCTTTCTGATTTTTTTCTGAATTTTTCTGGATTTTTTGATTTTTTTTTTCAGATTTTTTTCAGGTTTTTCTTCCAGCGGGGAGGGAGGGGAGTGAAGCAGGTCCCAGCTTTTCCAAGAGATTTTTTCTGATTTTTTTCTGAATTTTTCTGGATTTTTTGATTTTTTTTTTCAGATTTTTTTCAGGTTTTTCTTCTCTGATTTTTTTCAGATTTTTTTCTGAATTTTTTCTGAATTCTTTCTGATTTTTTTCTGAATTTTTCTGATTTTTTTTTCTGAATTTAAAGCCTCTCTGTCACCATTGTCAGAATCTCTCTGAGCTTCTGCTGCCTCAGCAGGAGGGAGGAGAGGGGCTGGGTGATTTTTATATTTTGTTTTTATATTTTTATATTTTGTTTTTACATTTTTAGATTTTGTTTTTATGTTTTTATACTTTGTTTTTATATTTTTATATTTTGTTTTTATATTTTTAGATTTTATTTTTACATTTTTAGATTTTGTTTTTATGTTTTTATACTTTGTTTTTATATTTTTAATATATTTATATAAATATATTTACACTTGGAATTTTATCAGTTTCAAGCAGCACTGAGGGGATTTGAAGAGAATTCAGCTGAGAAACTTTTACTTGAATATGTTTGGGATTTATTTGGGATTTTGGATTTTTTTTTCAATTTAGGATTTATCTGGGAAAACAAACGCTGGGTTTTCATCCCAAATTGCTCCCCAATGTTACAAAAAGGGTTCTTGACTCCCTGGATAAGTTTTTTTTTTCCCAAATTCCAAAATCCCGGTGCTGGCGTCACCGCAGGAATCGAACAAACACTGGAATTCTTTTATTAAAACCGAGCAGAAAAAAGCACAGAGAGTTTAAATAAAATAAAAACTGAAATCTCTGCTCTCAGGGGGTGCTCTGGGGCAGCCCCTTCTTCAGCAGGGACGTGAGATAACTGCCCAGCTCTTCATCCTGAAAGGCACAAAAACAAAACCAAAACCAGGGTGAGACCAAAATCTTCCTTCCACTGTCCCAGGAAATTTGGGAATGAAGGGAGGGAATTCCTGGAGCCTGCAGGACCTCGTGGGAGCCGTGCTGAAAAACTGCAACAACCCAAAAATTCATTTCTGGCTGTTCTTGACAAATTATGGCTGTGAAACTCCCACTTCCCAAAGGGCCTGAGGCTTTCCTTTGAGGAAAAGCTCCATTCCTGCTTGAAATCAAGAATAAACTGATTTTATTGCTCTGCCTTCCAAAGGAATTCCCTTGCTGCCAAGAAAGTTTAATAATCCAGCAAGTTTAATAATCTAGAATGTTTAATAGTCCAGAAAGTTTAATAATCCAGCAAATTCAATAATTCAGCAAATTTAATAATCTGGAATGTTTAATAATCCAGAAAGTTTAATAGCCTAGAAGGTTTAATAATCTAGGTTTAATAATCCAGCAATTTTAATAATCCAGCAAGTTTAATAATCCAGGTTTAATAACCCAGAAAGTTTGATAATCTAGATTTAATAATCCAGCAATTTTAATAATCCAGCAAGTTTAATAATCCAGGTTTAATAACTCAGAAAATTTGATAATCTAGATTTAATAATCCAGCAATTTTAATAATCCAGCAAGTTTAATAATCCAGGTTTAATAACTCAGAAAATTTGATAATCTAGATTTAATAATCCAGAAATTTTAATAATCCAGCAATTTTAATAATCCAGGTTTAATAACCCAGAAAATTTGATAATCTAGGTTTAATAATCCAGCAAGTTTAATAATCCAGGTTTAATAACCCAGAAAGTTTAATAATCCAGCCACAGAAAGGGAAGGTGCTGGGATGACTCAAATAAAAGAATGTTAAGATCAGAAATAGTTCTGCACTTTTTTGAAATTTTCCTAGAAATACGAAGTGAAATATTTAATTCAGAACTGAATTAAGTGGAATTAAGTGGAATTACCCCAGAAGTTCTCTGCCTTCCAGAGCTGGGAAACCATTTGTGCTGAACCCCAAAAGCTCAGCAAACAGCAGGGACTGCCCTCATCGTCCCAATTCCCTCCAAGGCAGAGGAGGGAGGTTTGGGGTGGGAGCTGGGGCTGGAAATGAGCAGTTCCCACCTGGTAGGTCCAGGAGACGAGCAGGACTTTGGTTCCTTGGTCCTCGGAGTGAGCTGTGGCCTGGATCAGGATGGACTCCACAGTGATGGAGCCGTCAGGGAGGTGCTGCACGGAGTAATCCTTCAGGACCCTGCAAGGAGAGCAGGAATTTGGGATTGATTTGGGGCAATAAATGCTGGGTTTGCACCCCAAATCCCAGCCTGTTCCTGGCTCCTGTGGCTGAGGCACAGCTCATGCTGGTGTTTGCAATGGTTCCTGCAGAGTTCAGCCAGCTCAGCCTGAGCCCTGCTCTGAGGGAAGAGCTCAGGGGGCAGCAGCTGCATGGAGGGAAAACCAAATTTTACCATTCTGCTGCTGCCAGCTCAAAGGAAGGGCCCCTGTGCCACAGCTGAGCTGCCAAAATAACCCAGCAGCTCCTGCCTTCCTTAAGCAGACACCTCCTTCCAAACCAAGACAATTGTCTTGAGCAGTGGCTGCAGAGATGTTCCACTTTTTCGTTTGGTTTGTTCCACTTCCTTTAAATTTTCCAAGCCCATGCTTGGGAATATGGCCTTAAAAACACATGGGGATAAAGAAATCAACTGATTTTCCATTTCAGGGCAGGCTCCTGCCTTCCTTAAGCAGACACCACCTTCCAAACCAAGGTGCCTGGAGAGATGTTCCACTTCCTCCAAGTTTTGTTCGGGTTTGTTCCACTTCCTTTACATTTTCCAAGCCCATGCTTGGAAAAGAGGGCACAAAAAACAACCTCAGAGGGCACAAAACACACTCAGAGAAGAGAAAAAATACCCTCAGACACAAAAAACACCCTGAGAGGGCACAAAAAAACATCCTCAGAGGACACAAAAAAAACACCCTGAGAGGACACAAAACACAGAGGACACAAAAACCACCCTGAGAGGGCAAAAACACCATTCTCAGAGGGCACACAAAACACCCTAGAGGATACGAAACAGAGGACACAAAAAACACCCTCAGAGGGCACAAAAGAGAGGACATGAAGAAAACCCTCAGAGGACACAAAAAAACCACCCTGAGAGGGCACAAAAACATCCTGAGAGGGCACAAAAAACACCCTGAGAGGGCGCAAACACAGAGGACATGAAGAAAACCCTGAGAAGGCACAAAAAAAACCACTCTCAGTGGGCACAAAAACCACCCTGAGAGGACACAAAAAACACCCTGGGAGGGCACAAAAAACACCCTGAGAGGGCAGAAAAACCACCCTGAGAGGACACAAACACAGAGGACATGAAGAAAACCTTGAGAGGGCACAAAAACCACCCTAACTGGGCACAAAAACACCCTGAGAGGACACAAAAACCACCCTGAGAGGGCACAAAAGAGAGGACATGAAGAACACCCTCAGAGGACACAAAAAAATCCACCCTGAGAGGGCACAAAAAACATTCAGAGGGCACAACCACCACCCTGAGTGCCCCAGCACTGAGCCCGGGGCACTGCTGAGCTGCACACCTGGAAATTTGGGAACTTTCTTTGATGTGTTCAGTGTATCAGGGGTGGTTAGCTATTAGCAGAAATAAAAAAATAATATTTAGGGATGATATTTGGTATTTAGTGATGATATTTGGTATTTAGTGATAATATTTGGTATTTAGTGATGGTATTTAGTGATAATATTTGGTGTTTAGTGATAATATTTGGTATTTAGTGATAATATTTGGTGTTTAGTGATAATATTTAGTGATAATATTTGGTATTTAGTGATAATATTTGGTGTTTAGTGATAATATTTGGTATTTAGTGATAATATTTGTTTTTTAGAGCAACTCCCTCTCTTCTCAGAGCACTTCCTGCTGTAAAAATCCGATTATTTATCTAAAATTCCGTTTATAAAACTAATTCCATCTCTCCCAAACCAAGCACACAAGAACAGCAAACCAGGCAGGGCGTGCACACCGAATTTAAACACATAAATTGCATCTTAAATTTGCGAAATTCTATTTTACCATTTTATATTTTATGACATCTATATTTTATATTTTAAATTTATATTTTTAAAATTCTATTTTAAGCTTTGTAAAGCCAGCAGCAGGGAGGGAATGGGGAGGGAAGGGTCACCTATGGCTGCTTCCCTCTTGAGGAGGCCCAGGGAGATGTCCACGGGGATGCAGGGGTTGGTGAGGATGGTGGTGGTCTCTCCATTGGCTGGCATGAAGCAGCTGACATCTGCAAAGGGAACAGCAGCAACAGAAGCTCAGCTCCAAGGGGCTCACTGTAATTAATTAATGGTAATTAAGGTGTCGAAGGCATTACTTGCTTAAAGGGGAGGTGAGAATGCCACGCCGAGGGCCAAAATGGATCCAAAATGTGCAAAATTTTAACTCCATTCCCTCCCCTCCCGTGGAAAACAATCCCAAGTCATGTCCAAGGGTATCACTTAATTAACTGGGCTTCATTAGTGTTAATTAAGGTGCTACAGGCATCAGTTTTTGAGGGGAGTTGTAAATGCCATCCCACCTAACTCTGCTGAGGGATCCAAAATGTGTAAAGTTTTAATGCCATTCCCTCCCCTCCCATGGAAAACAATCCCAAGTCATGTCCAAGGGGTCACTGCAATTAACTGGGCTTAATTAATGCTGATTAAGGTGTTACAGGCATCACGTCCTTGAGGGGAGCTGTAAGAGCCATCCTCTATAACTCTGCTGAGGGATCCAAAATGGATCCAAAATTGATCCAAAATGGATCCAGAATGTGTAAAGTTTTAATGCCATTCCCTCCCCTCCCATGGAAAACAATGTCCAAGGGTATCACTTAATTAACTGGGCTTCATTAATGTTAATTAAGGTGTTACAGGCATCAGTTTTTGAGGGGAGCTGCAAGTGCCACCTCACCTAACCGTGCTGAAGGATCCAAAATGGATCTGAAATGTGTAAAATTTTAACTCCATTCCCTCCCCTCCCATGGAAAACTATCCCAAGTCATGTCCAAGGGTATCACTGCAATTAACTGGACTTAATTAATGTTAATTAAGGTGTTACAGGCATCATTTCCTTGAGGGGAGCTGCAAGTGCCACCCTTCCTAACTGTGCTGAGGGATCCAAAATGTGTAAAATTTTAATTCAATTCCCACTTCTCCCATGGAAAACAATCCTAATTCATGTCCAAGGGTATCACTGCAATTAACAGGGTTAATTAAGGTGTTACAGGCATCATTTCCACGAGGAAGCTATAAATGCCACCCTCCCTAGCTGTGCTGAGGGGTGCAAAGTGTGAATTCCCAGCTGTGCTTCCCCTCCCTCCCTCCCTCCTGCCCAGGGATACCCACGGAACTCCTGCTCGATTTTCTGCTTCAGGAATTCCATTTTCTTGGCCTCGCCGTGGACCAGCAGCACATTCCTGGGCTCAGCCTGGCGGATCAGCTGCATGATGCCCTTGGCATCAGCGTGGGCACTGAAGGACATGTACTCCACCTGCAGCTTCACCTC